GTCTCGTCATGTGTGTGTGGATGGTGCCAGGTCAAAAAGAAGCACCCAGGGTGGCATTGAAGGGAGGAACATTCATGGGCAGACCTGAGGGGTGTGTGGTTTGCCTCACAGCTGGTTGGGGACCAGCCAGGTACGTGGTATTGGAGCTGCCCGCTGGCTCTCCCCAGGCAGAGCCCCTCCTGCAGGTGAAGGGCTAGAACTCAGTGCTCAGAGCAGTCAGATGTGCTCGGGATGGGGGAGGGGACGGGGAGTCTCCTTGGAGATGAGGCTTAAGATTCCATTCTCCCTGGGAGGCCATAGGGTGATGCCTCGAGCCCTGGTACCTGATCCCTGGTGACATTGCTGAGGATAAAGCTTATCCCTCCCATGCACCCATGGATCCGAGGACACCATACTCCCGATGCTACACCCACCCAGGCTGGTGGCCCTGCAGGAGGTAGAGGGAGGAGAGGCCCAGGCCTGCAGTGCAGACAGGAGCACTGTGTGTGTGTGTGAGGACCCCCTCAAGGAAAGCAGGGTCCCTAATGCTTGGGAGCTTCCAACCCTCTGAGCTGGGGTCACTGACCGACCAGGCCTGGTGGGCTGGGGCCCAAGTGCCAGCCCCATGCCTTGGGACAAGTCTGGGTAAGGAAGTTAGCAAATGCTGGTTAGGATCCTCCCCTGGGCCATACCCCAGAGCCACTGCCACCACTGCCACGTGGTAGGAGCTCAGGGTGTGGATGTCTAAGCACTGCCCACTTTTACTGAGCACTCTCTCTGACCCAGGAGGAAAGCCCTGCCCACCCCACAAGCTCACATCCTTCTTTCTCACAATGTCCCTATGAGGAAGGGCCTCTTATTTTCCCAACTATACACGGGGGGACTGAAGCACAGAGAGAGCAAGTGACTTGCTTGCCCGTAGGCACACAGCTCTCTGGTAGCGTAGTGCCTAAGGCACTTGACTGCTAACCAGAAGGCTGGCGGTTCAAACCCACCAACCACTCCTCGGAAGGAAGATGGGGCAATCTACTTACGTAGTGATACTGCCTCGGAAACCCAAGGAGGGGTCGCTATGAGTCGCATCCGACTCGACGGCACAACAATACCACCAGGCACACAGCTCAGAAGTGGCAGATTCAGGATTTGAAGCCAGGAGTCTGAATTTAGCAATTAAACCCTTAATCATTAGGTTCTGGCTTAAGCACTTAGCTGGCACCTTACAAGCACTTTCTGTCCATTGTTTTGTTCGCCCTTAGACCAGCCCTGGGGGAAAAATTGTTTTTCTTGTCTGATGGTGGTGGGTGTTTGATTCCCAAGTCGTAGCCATGCCATATGACAGAGTAGAACTGCCCCATGGGGTTTTCTTGGCTGTAATTTTCATGGAAGCAGATTGCCAGGCCTTTCTTCTGTGGCACTGCTGGGTGGTTTGAACCACCAACCTTTCATTAAGCTGCTGAGTGCTTAATGGTTGTGCCACCAGTGAGCCTTTTTGAAGTTGTTATTTCTGTTTCACAGGTGAGTACAGGTGTTCAGAGAGGAAAAGCAGCTGGCTCTTAATAGATGATTGACAGATAGAGATCCCCCTCCCCACCCAGCTCCTTAAGGGTAGGGCCTTTGTCTACCACCCAGGTACCTGGCTCAGAGCAGATCCTCCCTGAACGCAGCTTCTTCATTTAAATGTGCAGGTGCTGCTCTGAGTGCTCTCTCCAAGGTTACCTTTTTATTTTGCTCTAAGATCCCTAAGAGATGAGAATTACAGCTTCATTTCTTAGATGGGGAAACTGAGGCACAGTTCAGTGAGGTCACTTGCCCAAGGTCACACAGCTAGCAAGGGGCAACGCAGAACTGAATTGGGCAGTAGGGCCAGTCTGGGTGAGAAAGGGCTTCAAAAGCCAGGGAGACCTACTGGAATGGTTAACATAAAAAAGACTGATGATACCGCATGTTGGTGAGGATGTGGAGGAACTGGAATGCTCATCCATCCGTGGCTGGGGAAATGCAAAATAGTACAGCCACTTGGGAAAACAGCTTGACACTTTCTCTACCACACAATCCAGCAGTCCCACTCTGTGGTATTTACTTAGAGAAGTGAAGGCTTAGGATCACACAGAAACCTGGAGGGGAACGTTTATAGTAGCTCTATTCATAATTGCCAAAAAACAGATTCTTGATACACACATAACTTGGAAGAATCTCAAAGGCAATGAATGGAAGAAGCCAGTCAGAAGGTTATCTACTCTGTGATTTCATTTATAATTGAAAAACTAAAACAAAAAAACCACCGTAGAGTGACAGAGCAGATCAGTGGTTGGGAGTAAGGGGAAGGAGTGACGGGGACAGGACAAAGGAGTTTTTTTTGGGTGATGGAGCTGCTCTGTGTACTCACTCGGAAGTGGTAGTTACATGAATTGTCATGTCTGATTCATAGAACTAGACACCAAAATAAGTCAATTTTACTGTATGTAAATTTGAAAATAAAAAAAGGGCAGAGGGGAAGCCCGAGGAGGAAGGACGAGGGCGGGCAGGTCTGATGCCTGCCTTGCTGATGGGGGGATGAGGGTGGTGAGCTCTTCCTTTACTCACTGGCTCTCGTGGGCAGCAGCGGCGGGTCTGCCTGGCAGTGGGAGGGATGCTGGGCTAATTATAGCTTCTATTTGGACACACGAGAAGGTGGTGAGAAGGTGGTGGCAAGCAGCTGAGGTGTTGTGACAGCACCCCAGGCTCTTGCAGAACAGTGTGATTAACCCCTAGACTGGGCTGTGCTTGGAGCCCAGGCTTTCCTAGGTGGGATCTGGCACGTCCCTCACCTATGACTGGCACCTGGTGCTGTGCCCTCGGTGGCACCATGGGTGGGGGTTATGAGCAGTCGTGTTAACTGAGGGCCTCTTGTTTTGTGCTGGCATCAAGACTGTGCCTTCCTGATCCTCACCACCTGTTCTTCCTGGGGGGATAGGGGGAATAGTTATCCCCATTTTATAGATGGGGAACTAAGGCCAGGGCTGGAAGGGGTGGGAGGAGAGCCATTTGCTGGATATCATATCCACTGAACCCAGCCAGTTGCCAATTCCAACTCCTGGCTTCCAAACTGGTATACTCCTTCCTCAGTTTATCCAGTCTTGAGTGTGTGCCCTTCAGTAGGTTCTGACTCAGAGTGACAGAGTAGAACTGCCCTATAGTGTTTCCCAAGTTTCGAACCTCTATAATCTTTTGGGTAGCAGGCAAGCACTTAACCTTTGTGCCACCAAAGTTCCTTATCCAAAGTCTAAAGCTGCGTTATTCAAACACCCCCACAAGTTTTGATTCTCTGTTCTCATGTTTATATCTTTGGGTGCTTTATTTTGTTTTAAGACACCTGAAAGCTGGTGGTGGCTCGGGGACGTTTCCACACTCTGCCTCTGGCAGTCCCTGTGGGTGTTCCGGAAGGATAAGACTTGCCTGGGGCCATGCAGCAGTAAGATGGACTGCCCACCTGAGTCTGAGGCCTTGCCTTGGAGGCCTGGTCAAACCCAGCCAGATCCTCCTGGCTGGGAGACAGACGACTTACTTCTGAGCCTTATCTGCAAATGGGGATTGTTTTCTGGCCTTGCCAAAAAAAAAAAAAAAAACTCACCACCTTTGAGTCAGATCCGACTCACAGCAACCCCTCCTTGGGTTTCTGAGGCAGGATCTCTATGGAAGCAGATTGCCCAACCTTCGGAGGAGTGGCTGGTGGGTGCTGGAGGGCGGTAAACCTGTTGCCTGTTGACCCCATGTGTTATAGAGTAGAACTGCCCCTTAGGGTTTTCTTGGCTGTAGTCTTTATAGAAGCAGATTGCCAGGTCTCTCTTCCACAGCACTGCTGGGTGGTTTGGATCACTAACCTTCAGGTTAGTGGTCAAGTGCAAACTACTTGCACCCCCCAGCCCAGAGGGTGCCAGTGAGTGGAAATGAGATGCCATGGGACACGTGGTGGGATGGGAGATACTGCCATTGTTAGTCAGTCCAGCCTTTGGTCAAACCTCACGGGCCTTGGTTTCCTGATCTGTAAAATGGGCATAAATAGTACCCCTGTGGCAGAGGCTGTGATAAAGGACTCCCCTCACTCCCTCACTCCCCCAGGCCTCCAGCACCTGTACCTCTGGGCCTTCCTCTCCTGACTGTTCTGTCTCCTTTGCATAGGTTTTGGCGGCTTGAAGACGAGGCTCTAAGTTCCCCTCTTCATCTCTGGTGCCCAGCGCAGTGCCTGACATACAGTAGGTGCACCAGACATGGCCCAGGGTGGAGCTGGGGGCTGCAGCCGGCATAGGGCAGACACTGGGGTGGGGGTGGCAATGGGGGTTAATGGCAGGGAGGGGACGAGGTTTGGGTAAGGTGCCTGGACTCCCCAGGACCCCTGCCAACACTCCTGGCTGCCCTTCTTTTAGCTGAGTGGTCCTGTGGCCGCCTCCCCCTTTCTTTCTGGCAGGTTTGGAGTTTGACTGGGAGACAGAGGGAGGGAAGGAAACCTCACTGGGTGGCGGCAAGGATTGTCTCAGCATAAATCAGTTGTGGGCCTAGACCTCAGAACTCAGATACCTGCCCTAGGCTTGGGACTATCCGTCCCTCTGAGCCTTATTTGCCCTGGCTGACCCAGGCCTCTTGTTACCCTATGCCCTACCTAGGCCCACATACCTTTTCCTGGCCCCTGTGGTCCCCCCTGGCCATCTACAAGGCTCCATCCAGCCTATCACACTGGGTGTGCCATGCCCACTTGGCCAGAGGGGCTCACACAGCTGGAAGGGTCTAGAGGCATCAGCCCCAGCCCATTTCCCAGATGAGGCAGCTGCAGGCAGTAACTTGCCCAGTGTCAGTCACACAGCAGGGTAGTTGCACAGCTAAGCACTGTGTCTGGGGCCTTGCATTCACATCTCACTGCCCCAGCCTGATGGAGAGCCCTGGCAGGCCCTGGGCTAGAGCCTGGCCTTCCCCTGCTGTTAGGCTCCTCCCCCTGAGTTCTAGAAGCTGGATAGGACCAGCGGCCTGAGGCTGGTGTCTCCCCTCAGCCCTTCTGCAGAGGCTGGGCTCAGGACAAGATGGCGGCCAAGCAGCCCCCACCCCTGATGAAGAAACACAGCCAGACGGACCTCGTGAGCCGCCTGAAGACTCGGAAGATCCTCGGCGTGGGCGGGGAGGACGATGACGGGGAGGTGCACCGTTCCAAGGTAGGTCTGTGTGGAGGGGCCTTGAACCCTCTGTGCCTAGGGATCCGCCATTCGGGGACGCAGGTGCCACCCATCATCTGGAGTAGAAGAGTAGTTGAGACCCGTGTTGTGCAGGAACCCCAAGATTTAGCTCATTTTTCTAGAAACTTAATGGAGATGCCAGGAGAATAACAATAATAATGAAAACAAAAGATCGTTAGAATTAATTGAGCACTTATTTTGTACCACGTTATTTTGCACCGAGTGCTTTATAAGCATTATTTAATCTTTTCAATTTCCCTGGGAAGTATAGATACAATTATTATCCCCATTTTACAAATGAGGAAACTGAGATTCAAAGAAGTTAAAGGTCTGTCCTGAAACCACACTAGTAAGTCTCAGAGTCGGGTTTCAAGCCCACGTCTGGCAGACCCTGAGCCTATGCTCTCAGCCACCTTGTTTTCAGTGTCAAAGGGGGGAGGAGAAGGGGTGACTGCGATGTCAGCCTGAACGTGGACTAACCTTGGCCAAGCAGAGGTGCCAAGTGGGTCCCTAGGCATGCCAGGCGCTCGGGAGGGGGTGAGGGGTTTGGGCAGGTTGAGCCTGTGTGTGGCTTCTTTGACCCCTCTGTGTCTGCAGATCAGCCAGGTCTTGGGCAATGAAATCAAATTTGCAGTTCGGGAGCCTTTGGGGCTCAGGTGAGCATTTGTGTGTTTTGGGGGGCCCTCAGGGTTGTGTGTTGGGGGGAGCTGCAGAAGACCCCCCTCATTTTGCCTTGAGCCTGGATGAGCTTGCCTCTTCATTCTGTGCTGATAACCTGCCCTCTAAACCAGCCATCCTGGGCACTTAGCTGGAGAGGGGAGGGTCTGAGGCGCCTGGGGTGGCAGGAGGGGTCTGGGTGACAGGAGGGACTGGCTGTGACCTTCCCCTCTGTGCCTCCCCAGGGTCTGGCAGTTGGTCTCCGCCATTCTCTTCTCCGGCATTGCCATCATGGTGAGCCCCGCCCCACCCCTTGGGTCTGGCTCCCCTAGCCCTTCCTCTCTCTGGGACTCCTGGCTGCCTACGTCTCCCATCCCATCACTCTGGCCACCCACCCCCAGGGCTCTGGCCACCACCCCACCCTTGCCCTGCCTGGAGCATCCTAGAGCTCATGGGCCTTCCTGACCCCTGTCCTCCCAATGGGGAACCCCAGAACCTTCTGTTGTGGTGTGAGGATCTGGGGGGCAATCAAACTGCAGCCCAGCCCCTCAGGGAAGGGAAGGACATGTCAGTAACAAGTGCCAACAGTGCCCCCAACTGTCCCCAAGAGCTGGACCTCTCAGTGCCTCTCCTGGTGTCTGTAGGCCCTCGCCTTCCCTGACCAGCTCTATGATGTAGTCTTTGATGGAGCAGAGGTGACCAACAAGACCCCCATCCGCCTCTATGGTGGCGCCCTTCTCAGTGAGTACGGTTGGGAGGTGCTGGGGGAGTGGATGGGCAGCTGAGGGGACCCAGCCAGGGAGCCTCCATCTGTGTGGGAAGCTCCCCTTCCTTTCCCCTGCTGGAGGCTGTAGCGCTTCCCCAAACCCCCCTCCATGCCTCCTCCTGGAGCTGTTGCATCTGTCTCTGTGGGTGTGTGCTGCCATCTTGTGACCACTGGCAGAATGCACCCAGTGGATTGGAGCCATGTCTTTGCCTTTATTGAATGCTTGCTGTGTGCAGTACACTACTACCCTCGCACTGGGGTATAGAAATGAATGAAGGCCCCTGCTTTGCCCTCCAGGGCCTCACAACATAGAGGAGGAGACAGAATCAGCAGGGTGTGTGTGTCCAACCCCTCACACCACTCCACCTTTTTCCGAGCTACTGCCTGGGTTCAGACTCTCCTGGGCCTCTCTTTTAAACCATATTTTTTTCCTCCCTACTCTGAGTTGCACACACAGCCTGCTAGAAAGCTGAATTAAGAGTTTTTGAAACTCAGCACAGGTTGTGCCCCCCCACCGATTCTTCAAACCATTCTGTGGCTCCCTAGTGCCTACAGAATGAAGTCCTGGTCCCTGCCTGGCTTTCATCATCCTCTGTGGGGTGAAGCCAGCTCCCCAACATGCCCCGCCCCCTGCCCCTCAGAGAGCCCGGACTCCAGCCACACATGATGTGCTGCCCTGTCTCACGCGGCCTCTGTGCCTTTGCACTTGAAGGTTTCCCAGTCTTCTGCTGATTGTGCTGCTACTCAGCCTTCAAGGGCCAGCTAAGAAATCCCTGGGGCAGCTTTAAGCACTCCCTCCACAGTGGGAGAGCTGGATTTACAGGGTTAGGTTTGTTGATGGACAGTGAGTGTTTATCGTGTTCAGAGCCAGCTGATGCTGGGTAAGCTGGCCTGATAGAGGCTCCACTGTGGTCCAAGAAAATAGGGTCTGTGCCCCCTGCCACCCCTGGGGAATTCCTTAGAGTGATTCCTTAATGAGTTTACTGTCTCTGGGAACCTCTGTGGAAAGGAAATACAGCGATAGGACTAGTTAACCGTTCACTCATAGACTCCATCAGCAAAGAACTGGGTATGGACCGGTTGGCTGCAGCTCAGTATTCCCATTTCACAGATGAAGAGCTGAGTCTCAGTGGGGGTGTGACTTGTCCAGGGTCCCATAGTGAGTTGGGAGTGACATGAGCAGGGATGAGTTGACTGGCTGAAGCAGCAGAGTTGAACATGGAGGGCATGGGGCAGGGATGGAGAAGTTTTGACTTGAGCAGTGTAAGTCGGTGTAGGGATCTGAAAGTGGAGGGTCCCGGCTGCCTTGCAGTAGTAGGCCCAAGAGAGGAGAGAGGGGTGGGTGCGGCCAGGCTGTCCCGGCTCTCCCCCACCCCCACGTGATCTCTGCCCACCCCAGGCATCTCCCTGATCATGTGGAATGCTCTGTACACGGCCGAGAAAGTCATCATCCGATGGACTCTGCTCACTGAAGCCTGCTACTTTGGGATCCAGTTCTTGGGTGAGTGGGGAGGCGGGTTGGGAAGGGACGGGTGGGGTTCAGCAGGGCAGCTTTGCCCCTGGCCTCCAGCTGGAGCCATTTGGGTTTGCAGGAAGTGAGAGAGGACAGGAGTAGGACCTGTGTGCCTGCGGGTCCTGCACACCTGTGCTGCATGTACTTGTGTCTTCCCGAAGACACACATGCACATCCACGGCCCTGCACCCTCCACATGTGTGTGCACCTGCCACTTCCCACAACCCACTGCTCACTTTGTACGCAGCACATGTGAAACAACATAGAAATATACTCAACGTTGGCCTACGCTCTACGTCACTACCTGCTGTGTGGGGAGATCTGAACAGAAAGGTCTCGGGGCGGGTCCTAAGCTTCCAGGTGACAGGACCTCTGGGCCACTGAGGCAGCCACAAGAGGGCCTCCCGCTCACCATGGCCGCCCGTGGTGGAGGGGGAAGCCACAGCCTCTCGTCTGACTCGTCCCTTCCTTACTCTTTCTCCCACAGTGGTCACTGCCTCACTTGCCGAGACGGGTCACATGTCCCTGGGGGTCCTGTCGCTCCTGGCCAGCCGCTTCCTCTTTGTCGCTGTCAGCATTTACTACTATTACCAAGTCGGCCGAAGATCTAAGAAAGTCTAGCTGGCCACTAGGCCAGGGCCCCTGCCAGCGCCCGGGGCGGGTGGGGCTGGGGCCTGTGTTACCTTGGTTCCTAGAAGGCAGGAAGGACCCCTGCCCTGCCCAGCTCTCCCCAAGCCTGCTGGGGAGGGGCAGGCCCAGGCAGGCAGGGGCATGGCCTTCCTCTCAGCCCAGGTGTACCCCGGGTGTGGAGATTTCTGGGCATTGAGGTGTGAGATGCTGGTGTGGGGAAGGACAGGGCCTTTCCACCCCCGTTCTCCACCCCACACATGACACCTCCTTTTCTTGAGTATCTTGGTCTCTGATCCCCTCAATAGACACTGACTGGAGGGCTGGAGTCATGGGGTTGTGGGAGTGTTAATCAGGGGTCCTGCCGGGAAGCCTTTTTTTTTTTTTTTTTTTTGAGAGGAGCTGTGGACTGCTTCCTCCTCTCCCTTTGTCGATCTAGTGAACTTGGCTTCTGTCCATTCCTGGAAAAGCCTGAGCAAACCCTGTGCTCCTACTCCTCAGTCTGGGCCTCCCTTACCTACACACACACACACACACACACACACACACACACACAACCACACAGCCCAGCTGGGGGTTACAGAGGCAGGGGTGGGCTTTCCGAGTTAGCATTTCCCTTTTGGCCTTGCTCTGCAGGTGGGTTACAGAGACCTGGACCTGTCTACCCCCACCCCCAGGCTTGGCCCAGTAGGAGCTCTCCTTGGCTCTAGGCTGCTCACACTGTAGGGCCACCTGTGCCCCATGTCCCTGGAGGCCCCTCTGAGCCCCTTGCCACCAACCAGTGTATCCAGAAGCTGCCAGCACCACAGGTCCTCCCAGACAGATGGACACAGGTGACTGCCGATGGAGCATGGTTAAGTGATACGGTTTGGAGATTGGATCATGGCATTCCCTTGGCCCTTGCTATCACCTCAAGGGGTTGATGCTCCCCTGCGTCACCCACCTCCCAGATTCCAGGGCCCCCCAGAGAGCTGTGCTGACAACTGGCTCCCTGGGAGCTGAAGACCCCCTGCCCTCCCTGCAGGCCCATTTGCCTGTGTGTCCCCATTCATCCTGCTTCCAGTGCTCTCTGTCACTCCAGCACATTTGCACGTGAGGAACGGGGACAGGTGTGTAGAGAGGAGCAGCCACAGGGCTCAGCTCCTGCCTTTCTGGAACCTTCGTTTAGCCCAGCTCCAGCTGCTGCCCAGGTTGGCCACATGGGTTCCCAGGAACTTTCCTCTGTCCACTCCTGTGCCCAGCTGCCTCTGCAGCCACATACCCAGTGACATGGCCTGTGCCCAGCAGGGCAGTGGCACCCCACTCTCACACAGCTGAGGAGAAGGCCCAGAGGGTGCCTCACGCTAAGGTGCTGGTGATGGGAGCTGAACTTGGTGACCTGGTCTCTCGGGGGGGGGGGCCTACTCTCAAAGCTTCCATTTCTGGCCACTTGAATGTGTGCCTCTAACCAAAATCCCATCTCCTGTTGTGACCTGGGCCAGCCAGGAGTCACTGCCTTTCTTGGGTGAAGGTGCTGGCTGGCCCTTGGACAGTGGCCCAAGCCTGCTGGCCCCCATCTGAGCCAGGCCTTCTAAGAGGTGATGGAGGATCTGTCCTCCCAACAGCAGCTGGGCGTGGCAGGTAAATTCCACCCGAGGAGGCCGGCTTATCAGCTGCTGTCCAGGCAGCCTCTGACCCATGGTGATCCCACGGTGGGTTGTGGATTGGCTGGTTGATTCCCAAGGTTTTCACTGGCTGAATTTTGGAGTAGATCACCAAGCCTTTCAAATTCTAGCGCATCTTAGTCTGGAAGCTCTGCTAAGACCTGTTGAGCATCACAGCAACACGGCAAGCCTCCGCTGACAGCAGGTGGCTGCGTGTGAGTTGTACTGGCTGGAATCCAACCTGGCCTTCCAGCGTGGAAGGCGAGAATTCTGCACTGGCCATCACTGCCCTAAGGGGGCAGGCAGACGGGGGTGGTGGTGGAAACACACAAGACTTGGGGCATCTGCATTGGGCATCTACTGGGCTGACCCCGCTAATCCTCCATCTTCTCAGGTGTGGAATGGGGCAAGTGGCCCGACCTTCCCTGCTGGGTGGCGGTGAGGACATGCCAGGAAGGGGCTGTCTAGGCTCTGGTGCAGAGCACATTGTAGTATTGGGGGTGGGGAACATTAAGGGAAAGAGGATTCCGTGTTGGGAAGGGGGCTGTGACAAGGGGAGAGGAAGGCCATGTGGAGGGCCAGTCTAAGGGCTTGGAATGACCTGCAATGCCCCTCAGCCCCAGTCCACCCCTGCGACTGGACCCCAGCGCCCTGGAGCCTAGCTCCGGCCTTAGCCCATCCACTGCACCCCAAATCAAGAGCACCTTTCTTCATAATCACTATTTATTCTTCGTTCCTATTTCTTTTCATAAGAAATTCACAAAAACCAGTGCAAAACCATCTGTGTGGGCGTCATGTTTTATACTACAAAAACTTTGAATATGTAATATAAAAAGGGGAGGGGGGCTCACAAGAGAGAACGTGGTTAGCTCTGCCCCCTACCGCACGGACCCTTTACAGTTTTCAAAATAGACCTGACCGCTGAGCCACAAGGAAGGGAGGTGGAAACTTTCGCAGAGATGGGCACGCTGAGCCTGGGCTGGTTTGAGGGGGCCTGTTTCGGCTCCTTAGGCAGAATTAGGAGAGAGGGGCAATGGGGGCCAAGGAGGGGCCCAAGCAGCAAGAGTGGATATTAACAGAGCCAGTGGAAGGGGCTGAACCTGCTCACCTCCACCCCTTAAGATGTATCTGCCCTTAACTGAGATGCAGTAGCTTCAGAATTGGAAGGTGGGTTTTAGGACAGGAGCAGCAGTGTAAGGTCTTCTCTGTCCTTTGCCCTGTGAGTGGGGTCCGAGGAAATCTCAATGTTAGGGTTTAATTCTTGGGGGAAGTGAGAATAAAGAAATCTGATTCCCCTCTCCAAGAACTATCATCAGAGTCTTATGGGCTGCACGTGCTTCAGCTCAACCCCCTTATAGTCTAGAGGCTCGAGCCTGATTGGGCTGAGCTGCACATTTCAAGCCCCCTGGGAACCTTGGGCTTGGGTGTCTCAGGCACCTTGCTGGTGATAACTACCAGCCTGGCCCGAGAGTGTGGTCAGTGGCAGGGGAGTCAAGGCTGATTCAGAGTTCCTTGGCCCTTGGGAAAGGAAAGCCCTTGGAATGAGTCTCTGATCCACCCCAGAACCCACCTCAACCAGACGTTCCTCCTTGACCTGCCCCTCCAAGCTTCTCTTCCTTCCTCTCTAACTTTTATGGGACTCAGGAAGGGATGGGAGAAGAAAGGGTGGAGAGTGGGTGGTGCTGGAAGCCCCGGGCTCTTACCTTGAAGCCCCTGAGTCCCATGGGCAGTGGGGAACCACAGGGGCCTCAGAAGGCTGGGATGACCTTGGGCTGGAGCCACAAAGCTGCCCAATTTGACTTCCAAGCCCCACCCATCTGGGGTTTGGGTTTTCTGTCAAGCTCAGACCATCCATTTGCCTTTTTCAGGAAGCTGGAGCTATGTGTGTGGGTAGATCTAGAGCAAGGCAGGCCCCAGACTCTCAGGCTCATCCCACCCAGTAGTGGGACAGTGGAGAAAAGAGCAGATACCATGCTGGTCCTCACATCATACCCATGGCAGACATCACTAGTCAAGCGGGAGATAATATCTGACCTCCATGCTCCAGGAAAGAGAGAGCACCTGCTGTAGCTTTTCCTGGCTCCTTGGGCAGGGACAATTAGAGAAGACACAGTTTGGACACCTGGAGAGATGGGGTTAATACTGGGGGGGGGGGACAGCAGGACATGGGAAGGTGGTAAAGAAGTCAACTTGACTCTTTAGAGCAGGCACAGGGCTTCTGGCTGCCTTTCAGAAGGGGAGTGAGTGGCAGAGACAGGAACATAGCTCTGGGTTGTAGCGCTGACTCCTCTGGGTGACTAGAAGTCACGTGGGGAGGATGGAAACTGGCACAGGAACCTGGGAGACAGAGCTCTTCCCAGGACCCTGACATGGGACTGTGGCAGGCAGAGTACTTTCTGAGTTCTTTCCATCTCCATGCCAGTGGCAGACCTCACTAATCAAGTTTACTCTTCTTGGCAGACATCATTAATCAAACTTACCACTCACCAAACTTACCAAGCCTGGCAGGCATCACTACTAGAGACTACACTGCCCTCTCACTGAGCCCAGCCCAAACCTCAGTATCCTTGGCACAGCATCCGGCAGCCATTCCTGATTTGATGTGCCCATGAGATCCAGTTGCCAGCACTGGTCTAGGATTTGAGTCCTGTGTATTTGAGGCTGATTTGTGGATAATATGTGGGTGTGAACAGAGGCGTATCCACAGAAAGTTGTGCCTAGGGCAAGTTCATTTTACGTTGCTGAGTGAGCTATCATAGCTGGCCTTGGGCGAGAATAGAAACTGCTCATTGGCGCCACCCCCCTCAAGTGGTCCCCAGGCACGGGCCACACTGGCTGTAACCTAGATCTGCTTCTGGGTATGAATCAGTCTGGGAGGAACTTTCCCTGCCCCAGCCTGGAGGGAACACTCAGAGCTATGCTGTGGTTGGTGAAGGGGCAGGAAACCGTATCACAGAGAAGTGACTCAAAGGGGTTCTTCAGACAAAGGGGTTCAGTGGGAGACAGTGTCTGACTTAACACTCCCTCCAGGAAGGAGGGAGAGCAAGCAGGACACCATGGATGAAACCACAGCAAAACAGAAATGTCTTTGTCTTCTGTGTATTGAGCCGATGCTACAGTCGGAGCAGTCCAAAGGCAGAAGGCTGCCTGAGGAGGTAGTGAGCTCTCCGTCCCCGGAGGTGTGCCAGTGGAAGAGGAGAAGTCTTGGCAGGGGTCTTGTAGAGATATCCAAGCCTCAGTTCCGTGATATGATCTTGGGGGCTCCTTCCAGCCTTGAGAGCCAGGGAGCCAGGGTGAACAGGGAAGGGGATGAGGTTGTGGGGAGAGGTGGGCAGTGTGGAAAGGAATGTGGCATGGGCACATGGGGATTTAGAGAGGCAGGAGGGAGAACGGGGGGACATGATCCAGGATTTTCTCAGCTACAGAGTTAGGTTTTCCCGGCCAGCTTACCCTCCCTTTGCCCGGGATGTTGGGGGCAGAGAGGGATGCAGCCAGCAGCTTTGTGACAGGCAGCTGGAGACCTCCGAGGTCTAGTTCCGAGCTGCTGTGCATGTGGCGTGTGACTGTGCACAAGTCACTGCCCCCCTGTGGGCCTTGGAGGTTATTTGGTCCAACAGATGAGATAAGCAAGGCCCCTGGCAGTTGGGCCATTCTCGGATCCCATGTCCACAGCCCCTTTTGAGCCTCAGCTTGGAGGCCGTTCAGCTCCCTCCGCTGAGGACCAGAAACTGTGCTGTGAGTTCTAAGCCCTCAGGTTGTGGACACCGAGTCTTCTTGGGGCCCCTGGGCTTTGCCAATGTCTCTCTCTGAGATTGGCTTTTGCTTCCTCGTTGCCCAAATCCTCACTTTCTTGGCACCAGTTCCTGAAGCTGTGAGGAGAAAGGGCCCCGGTCTGGAGTGGCCACAGGCCTGCTGGAGGGGCCCTGGGATGGCTGCTTTGGTCTCTAGTGCAGACCGCCTCTTGGGTTCAGGCGCTGGGGCCCCTGGGAGAGCCCATGGCACTTACCCCGGAGTCCAGGCGGAGGGTACATCAGTCCATATTTGTGTCTTCGTTTTGTTTTGTTACAAAAATAGCTATTTCTGTCCTCCCTCTCTGCCCTCCCCGCCCCTCATGAGGGCCTCGCCTCCTCCCCTGGGGCCAAGGCGGCAGGAGTGGGGGGGGAGGGGAGAACCGTGGTGTTGGGCAGGAGTTGGGGGGGTGAGTCGTCATCTACTGGATGCCCCGGAAGAGGCACATGGCAAAGATCATGGCGAAAAGCTGTAAAGGAAGCAGACGTCAGCTTGTCAGGCTGGGCCCACAGCCCTCTGTGGGCTGTCCCACCCCGAGGTGAAGGGGCTGCTGCCTCTAGGGCGGGACAGGGGTCCAGCCTCCATGCTCACTTCACTCCTGCTGTGGAGGTTTACATTCCCCTGGGGGTAAGTCCTTCTCACCACCTGGCTGCCTCCATGCTGTGTGGCATCATGGAAGGAAGGGGGACTTTGGACACTGAGAGACATGGGTTCAAATCCCACTGTTGCTACTTGCCAGTAGTGACTTCAGGCAAAGGCCTCCCCTTCTTTGCCCCAGGGCTTTGAACCGGTTCTTTCCAGTTCAGACATGGCTGACGAAGCAAAACAAGAACGACCTGAATCTGTAAAATGTAGGTGAACCAGAATAATAAATGGAATGGGAAAAATTACAGGTCAATGCCCTGCTAGAAACATCTTCTTCCTCTTAGAAAACAAGGGCAGCATGCGTGTTGCATAGCAACTAAATCTCCTCATAGGCAGCTTAAGAAACAGCCGGGCCTGATCAAAGATGGTGACTGACTCCACTGCCTTGAATGTGGATTGCTCTCCACAGACCTGGCAGTAATTCCACCTCCCACCTCAGGCTCCTGATAGGGCTCGCTGCACCTTTTCCGAGTCTCCCATTCCAGGCTTTGACCCATAGTTTTCACTGTTCCACTTCACTCAAATTTAAAAAATTGGATCTCTTCAGATTTTGCTTTGTTGGCCATGACTGAACCAGTTCAAAGCACTGCTTGTGTATGTACTGAGGAGCTTAATGTGTGCACTGTTCTTAGTGCTTTCTTGGAAACTTTTCACAGAGGAGGAAACAAGGCACAGAGAGATTAGGTAACTTGTCTAAAGTCACACATGAAGAGGAGCTGGGGTTTGAGTCCAGGCATTCTGACCTCAGAGCCCATGCTTGTAACCCCTGTACTCACCCATAGGAACTCACAAGGAGGTTGGAGGTGTCAGTAAATCAACATAATACTTAATACCTGTCACAAAGTAGCTGCTTCATAAAATCTCGCCAGGACTCTTATCAATAGGCAGCAAAGATGCAGCCCTTCCCAGAGTTAGGATCAGAGCAGTCACTGAGGGGTTGCCTGAGGGCCTTGGGTGCTGGGCTGGAGAGGCCTTGACTCAGGGACGCCCTTCTCTGTGCTGATTTCTGATGCACCATGGCCAGAGGTTTCCTTGCAAGTACCACAAGGATCAGTGAGTGCCCAGATTATGAATTTATGGCCAAATTACCAGGAGGGTCAGTGGGGTGGGGGAGGTAAGGCTAGGACAAGGCCAAGTCTTTGGGGCAGGATTCTGCCTCCCACAGTGGCCAGCTGACAGGGGCCTGGGCTGGGTGGGAGGGGTCATGGTGGGATCAAGCACCCAGATACTGCTTACTGAGCCCCTAGTATGTGTCATGTAGTCTCTGCCATCTGTAATCTCCACAATACCCAGAGCAGAGTGATTAACACCATTTTGCATTTGAGGAAACTGAGGCCCAGGTGTTCTGCATCTGGGGAGAGGCGAGCTGGAAACTGGTCTCCAAGGCCACATCTTCCAGCACGCTGCCCTGAGGTTCCCCCCGGTCCTAGTGCAGGCTTCTCTGCCTCCTGGTCCTGGTCTGAGCCCTCCCACTAAACAGACATTGCCTGTCCCTTCATCCCCAGGGCTGGCACGGTGCTGGTCTGCACTGTGCACACTGAATAAGGAAATGAAGCTAAGCCCCTCCATCTCCCCATCCCCAGTGCTCCAGAAATCTGCTGGAAGTAGGGCTGTTGGCACAGTAAGAACCTGAACAAGGCCACATTTAAGGTGCAGGCAACAGGAGGCAGCCCTGCAGAGTGGGACGGGAAGAGCCTACTGCCTGACTTCATGTCCCTGCAGGCCAGGGACTGGAGAGCTTCTCACTCTGGAGGAGGCCGTGGCAACCTGCCAGTTAAACTCCAGGGCGCAGCAAGCAGTCAACCTCCCTCTGGCTGAAGCGCCACCTAGTGATGGCTTCAAAAGGGCTGCAGCTGGCTGCCTTTTGAAGGGGCTCTGGAAGCCCTTGGTAAAGAGGGCTAAGGCCATCACTGTGAGGTTAACAAAGTCTCATAGGCCTTGAAGAAAGAGCCTGATCCAGAACCACAGGCTGCAGCCCCACCCTAGAGCCGGCTGTGAGGATCCTGCTGTGAACATCATGGAACTTCAAGGGGCTCAGGGGTGTGGGGCTCTCAGAGCCACCCATCCATACTACCTGGAGACAGACACAGTCAGTGACCACCCATATTCCCCACAGCAGGGGACGTATGTGGTCTTGGTTAAGAAAATCCAGAAGGAAAGTGTGTGTGTGAGAGGATGCAAGCCTCTTGTAAGCATTGCCGGGGCGGCAGGGAGGGGTGGAGTAGCAGCAGTGGGGGCCCTGAACTTACCTCGATGGCTAGCACCCCTATGGCGAGGGCCCCGGCCAGGTAGACGTAGGTTTCGAAGGCATTGAGGATCACCGTGTAACAGCCCTGGGAGGGGAGGAGCAAGAGGTGAAGCATAATCCAGAAGACTATCTGGAGTCAGGGGTCAGGGGTCAGAGGTCAGTGCCAGCAGTAGGGTGCAAAGCTTGGAAAGTGGCATGTGGTCCCAAAGTAGAGGTGACAGCAGGCTACCCTCTCAAACTGATGATGGGACAGAGAAGGGGTGGGAGGGCCTGGAGGAAAGGCCTCAAGGCCATAAATGTGGAGTGGTGCTGGCAAGACACTGGAGACCTTGAGCAGCAGAGGGAGGTCACCCTTAAGCCCTGGGCTGCTTCCCAGCACCCTGGACCTCCATTGCTCATTCCCATCAGGCTTTAGCAGCAGCGCAGCCTTTGGGTCCCTGGACTGAAAGCCAGCAAGCAGGCTGGCCAATGGCCAGGTCCCAGGCTTGGTCCTGAGACACCCTCAGAGGGAGGATAGATAGAACAGTAGCACCAACCCTCTGTGATGGTCCACTCTGCCAAGAGCTTTGCTGGGGCCTCACGTGCTCTTCACTACTTATTCCTCACTCCAGCACCATGGGAAGAAGGCTTTTCCTGCATTTTCTAGATGAGGATTCGTGGAGAGTGAGAGCCGTTGAGTAATGTGCTCAAGGTCCCCACAAGGAGGAAGGGACACTGGGATGTGCACTGAGGGGACCCCCATTTCCTGCTCTTTCCTGTGCTCCCTGCAGGGTGCAGTGGAGAGGGAGCTGGGCATCAGGACACTGGGAGGTTCAGTCTCCCAGTTGGGACCTGTTCCCTGACTTGGAGCCTGGAGTGCGAATCTACGAGGCACCTCACTCCACCATCCCCTCGCCATAGCTTCCCGCCCCCCACCCTGGTCTGCTGAGATACTAGAAGGGACTAGCTCTCCCTTGCTGCCATGACTGTTATCCTGTTATCCGGGACACATTCTCCTCCTCCCCAGGGAGGGAACACTCCATCCTCCAACCACAGTCACCCCTGCCACCCTCCTGACCTAATCTAGCAAAGAGTGGCCAGGCCAGAGGGCACCAATGACCACATGGAGTGACTCCCACATTTGTATCACTACATGGACTTTCCCTTGAGTTCTGGCCCATATATCCAACTGTTCACTCAACATTTCTGCTTGAATGTCCCAAAGATACCTCATGCTCAACCTTTTCCCAAACCAGAACCCAGAGTCACCCTCCACACCTCCTCACCTACAGCCAACTGACCACCACGATATCCTGAACTTTTCTCAGCCATATGCCTCTCTCCATCTCCACTGCCATCACCCTGGTCTGACCCACTGTCCTTTCTTATTGGGACCAGTGTAAAAGTCCCTCCTGTCCACTGGGCCCACCCCTAATCCCTGGCCACAGAGCTGCCAGAGCACCAATGCGGTCACATGGCTTCCTACATGGAACCTGGTGTGGGCTGCCATTGCTCTTCCAGCATCCTCTCCATTGGCCTGTTGATGCTCATCTCAAGCGCATCCTGCCCTGTTCGCCCTGCTCCAGCCACAGTGGCCTCCTTTTGGCACCTGGAGCACAGCATGCTCCCAGCCACCCCAGGGCCTTTGCACATACTGCTCTGTCTGGCTGGAAGGCTTTTCTCTTGCCAGGAGGATGAGGGCGTGTTGAGGAGACTCACAGTAGCACCCACGTTCACAATCCACCAGGAAGTAGGTGGAGCACACTGGGGTGAGAACAAAGCAGAGAAATGGAGCAGTGCTGTGGGGACTGAAGCCTCCAGATCATTCAGTCAGAAGGGGACGATGGATTTTCTACTGGTGGCCATCACACTAGCCTGCAGCCAAGTCTAAGCAAGGTCACTGTCTAATGGAAGACCTTTGGTTTAGTTCCAGCTAGGGAACACACCCTTCACTTGCCTAGGTGACCATCTTGACCCAGAGGAGGCTGGGAAGAAAGCTCAACTCAAACAAGTGGGGAAGCCTGAGTATTCATCATGGGCTGTCTTCTCTCAGGATTTCCTCATCTCTCTTCATTAGAGTTCAATGGTAAACAGAACCAGTGGGTTAACTCAGCACCCACTGGCAAGTATCCTCTGCCTTGGCTCCCAAAGGCCATGTGACCCAGTCTTGGCCAAAGAGGCCTAAGCAGAAATATACTGGGTGTTTCTGAGAAAGCAACTGATGCTACCCTTTTCCGTTCTCCCTGCTTTGAGTATGGGTGGGCTGTCTGGAGCCATGGCAGTCACTTTGCCACCATGAAGGCCACGGGGATCACAGAGATCCAGCTCTGACTGAGCTACTGGTACGAGGCGAGAAGTCACCATCTTCCAGAATCCTTGCTTCAGCCTCTTTAATTTGGGCTTCAGTGGCTGGCAGTCAATCTGTTACTCAAGACTGTGATGGGGATGAAAGGCAAAGTCAGAAATGCATCCTGGGCTTTGGGGAAAAACACAACACAACACAGCAGAGAGTCCCACAGCGGAGGTTTTAAAAGGGAAGAATGCTCAGGGGGGGATGTGAGTGTCTCAGAACATGAGTCAACCTCGGACGATCCCCATGAGGAGGAGAGGAAGAGTCGTTGTAAAGAATTAATGTGGTTGTGCAGAGGCCTCTCTGATGAGCTCCGATTTCAAAGCCATGCCCACGAGACGGAAAGAGGCATCCAAACAGAGGATGAACCCAAAAGGCATGTCAGTATGAAGCTGCAGAGGAGCAGGGCCCCGTAAGAAGCCTCCATAACAATTCACAAATGGCATTAATCACAAGGCCAGAGGCCTTGCTGTGGGCAACAGGAATCCTGGTGGTGCACTGGTTAAGTGCTCGGCTGCTAACCAGAAGGTCAGTGGTTTAAATCCATCGATCACTCCATGGGAGAAAGATGTGGCAGTCTGCTTCTGAAAAGTTTTAGAGCCGTAGAAATCCTATGGGGCAGTTTTACTCTGTCCTATAGGGTCACTGGGAGCTCTGGTGGCATAGTGCCTAAGGCATTTGACTGCTAACCAGAAGGCTGGTGGTTCAAACCCACCAGTCACTCCTCGGAAGGAAGGTTGGGCAATTTACTTCTGTAACGATACCACCTCAGAATCCTAAGGAGGGGTCACTATGAATAGGAATTGACTCAATGGCAGTGAGTTTGGTTTGTTTTTTATAGGGTCACTAGGAGTCGGAACTGACTCAATGGCAATGGGTTTTTTTTTTTTTTAATGGACAACTGGCACTCCAAACAGCAGTGCCATATACAAGTTAGAAATGTATTTGTCTTTCCTAAAAATTCCTGAATGATGGTGGCGACTCTGTGGCACAGAGGTGTCAGTGGCCCAGGTCCTTCTTTGATGCTCTGCCATCCTGGGCAGATGCAAGGCCCAAGAGAGCTCACCCACATAGCTGTATTCTGGCCGGGGAAAGGGAGGAGTGAGCTCAGTATGTTCTCTTAAAGTCTTGACTGAAGTTGCACAAATCATTTCTTCTCACTGTCCTTTCGCTAAACTGAGCCATGTGGCCTAGCTGCAAGGGAGTCGGGAAATGTGGCCTTGACCTGGTGCTGATATGCTCTGATAAACACTCTCATTCTAAGGATGGAGAGGTGAGTGGAATATGGAGAACAGCCAGCAGTCTCTGCCACCATATGGTGGTCGTCCCGAGGTCCATAGAGGGTTGTCTTATGCAAAGTGATCCAGCAGGTAATGGCCTGCATGACACCAAAGCCTGAAACTTCCCCACCACTTCCATGTTCTCTCCCCTTGGCTGCCCCTCCTTGCCCCAAGCCTGTAGCTGGGTCCCAGGACCCTTGTTCCCTTAACTGTGTCTCTATCCCCTCACCCAGGAGGGTAAGACCTGAGGAGCAGACAGAATGTGATTCCTGAGCCCCTGAACCCTGTGATGATATGGGTGGGTGCAGGGGCCGGAGGTGCTGAGCTCACAAGCAAAGCTGCACTGGAAAGGACCTCCTGAGGTCGCTGGGTGTCAGTTACTGTCCCCTCCCTTGGGGCCTCCACAAGGCCCCACCCAAGCCCATCACCTGGTTTTATTTTCTTCCAAGTGATTACCAAAAATTTTAAAAAAGGAAATGATTACTTTTTATTTGCTTGTTGCATGTCTTCTACTTTCTCTAACTGGACTGTGTGCCCCACAAGAATAGTGGTCTTTTCTCCTGTCCCCTGTTTAGTCTCCTGTCTCTGTAAGCCCCCATGAGATTCTCGGTAAAGGCCTAAGCCAGAGACTGGCCTGGAGCAAGAGCTCAGTTCACCCTTTCTCTCCCTCTCCCTCCCTTCTGGCCTCACCTGGTCTCTCACACATGCTCTGGGGGGACTGGTCAGTGGGACAAGGGGATCAGATACAGGGGCACTGTCTGTCTCACAGGGAGATAGGACAAAGCCCAAAGCCAGGGCCCTGGGTTCCCCAAGAAATAGCACACGCAGGAAGGGAAAGGATATTTTTCAAGGCTGAGATGGGGTCCTTGGGTTGCAAGAGAAGCAAAGAAGCCTATGAGCTTCCTTAACCTTGGAGGGCCAGCCAAGGAAACCTTGCTCCTCTCATGGCAATTGTGAGCTTCCTGCTCGAGAGTGGGCAGGGCTGAGCAATTCTGGTGCTGGCCCCAACCTGATTTATCAGAGGCTCAGGTAGTGTTGGAAATGCCTACCCACCCTTAACCCTGGCCCAATGCCCACTCCTCTGACCTGTGCCAGCCTTGGACTGCCTGCTGCCCTCCTCCCTTCCCCCTTGGTTGGATCTCAAGGCTTTGACAGAGCGTCCACCAGCCCCCGTTCAGGAGACACATGGCATGGCCTGCCTGGGATTCCCGGGATGCCCGCAGAGCCTTGGAGCCAACACAGTACCCAGCCAGTTCTGGCCACCAAGTCCCGATGGACCGGCTCCCCTACCTGCTTGTTCAGAAACAGGTCCCTCCCCAGGAAGCATTCCTCTCTGCTCAGCAGGATTCCGTCCCGAGTCTGGGGTTCCCTCCGGCAGCAGGCCTCCGGGACCTCGTCACTGTCCAAAGTCAGGAGTCGAAACACTGATGCAAACTGAAAGTCTTCAGGCCCGTTGACCCCACAGCAGCCAAACTAGGAGCAGAGCAAAGAGAATGGGTGCAGTGGGTGGGGCTGGGCCCAGGGAGTGAGCTGGGCAACTTTCCCAAACCTTCCCAGAGGCCACAGCAGCAGAGTGGACTGAGAAGAGCCACCTGTGGGCCTGCTCCATTCTGCAACTCCTGTGTGACTTCGGAAAAGTCACTCAACTTCTCTAAGCCTTTTTGTGTCCTCATCTGCAAAATGGAGGTGATGATAACAACTCCTACCTTACTCTGAGGAAGCATTCAATAAACCATCGTTACAATTATTATTTATGTCTCTGGGTACTGCAAATGAGTAAAAGCTTGGCTGCGAACCCAAAGGCTGGCGGTTAACCCAGAGGTGGCTCAGAAGAAAGACCTGGCAATTTGCTTCTGAAAGATCACAGCCATTGGAAACCCCATGGAGTGTAGTTCTACTGTCACATGTGGGGCTGCCATGAATCTGAATCGAGTCTATGGCAACTGGTTTGGTTTGTTATGCTTATCATCATCAATGACATTACTATTGATTGGGTGCTCAAGTCAGAGCAAACAGGTTTCATTCTGAGTGCGGACTCGATGGCTTGGCAATGGCTGCCCAGAATGCTGCCTCCATGCTGATTCTGAAACCAGCTCTGAGCTCAGTGCAGGAAGCCCTGATTGATTATTGATGTCTGCCATGGGCACACGTGCAGTGATGGCCATGGAGGCCAGACATTGGCTACAGTGGGTGTCACTGCTGACTGCTCACAGCATCAGGGGATGGGGCCCACTCACTGTGATCATGACCGAGTTCCAGGTGGCAGAGAAGACATCTGTGTCATTATTGCCCTGGTAGTGCTTGGTGAGCTCCTTGGTGAAGAATTCACGGGTGAGCTGGGGGCAGAGGGAGGGGGTGAGCAGAGACCCCGCAGCTTGGTGCAGCCCCCACCCCTTCCTTGTCTCCCCACTGGGGATGGGGGAGAGGCAGCCCTGGGCTGGAAGGATGGGAAAGCCAGCCAGGGCTCGACAAGGAACTTGGGAAGAGGGGGCCAGGCACATACGTTTTCCCTGCAGATGAAAGCCAAGATGGCTGCTGAGAGCTCCACCAGGAAGATGATGAGGATGAACAGGAAGAACTGCAACGAGAGGAGGGCAGGATCAGGAGCCCCGAGGCTCTGGGGGCAGCCAGGACTCGGCTGCTTGCTGATGTGGTACCTTGGTGCCCTTTCGTCTTTTACACCGTTGACATAAAACACTGAGTTTGTAAGACTAAGACACTCCACCATCATGAATCAGACACTTCCCATAATAACTGTACCAACAATCCATCTTTGATGCCAACAAGGTTGCAGCAGAACTACGGAGAAAGTAAACTAAATATGTCTTCCGTGTAAATGGTACCTTTTAGCCTAGGCCCTTTTGTGCAGTGTGCAGGCTGAATAACCTTCCTGGCAGCCCTGGAAGGAGACTGCTGCTGAAAGCTGCCCTCCAGGCGGTCCCCCCCAGGGGCCTTGTATAAGCAGTGGGAATCTGAGCTTCCTTTTGGGTCCCTGGCTGGTGTCCCACTCTGCCAGCCCAGGGCCACCTCCCCTTGCCCCTGCTGACACTTAGGGAACTGTCTGTAAGAATGTGCTGGAGTCCCTGGCTGGTGCAAATGGTTAAAACGCTGGGCTGCTAACGGGAGGTTGGCGGTTGGAGTTCACCCAGAGGCACCTTGGAAGAAGGGCCTGGTGATCCCCTTCTGAAAAACCAGCCACTGAAGACCCCGTGGGACGTAGTTCTGCTGTGACTCATGGGGTCATCATGAGTCTGAGTCAACTCAATGGCAGCTGGTAAGCATGTGCCACCACCTATCTGTCAGGGCAGCTCACGTGTTGCTGGGATGTGGAACAGGTTTCAGAGTTACTTCCAGGCTGAGACGGAGGAGGAGGAAAGGCCTGGCAATCTCCTGAAAATCAGCTCAAGGCAACCCTACGGATCACAATGGTCTGATCTGAGTGATCAGGGGAGGGCCCAGGACGGGGCAGCATTTCCTTCTGTGGTGGGCGGGGCCACCACGAACCGGGGCCAGCATGACACAGCTAACAACGTAACAAACCACACAGCACGTGCTGTCATCTCAGCAGCCTGACAGCTGTCTCCTTGGCAGGCTTCTCTACTCACTGTGCCCACTGCGCTCCTGCCCCTGACCCCCTCGTTCCCATGGGGAGTGGAGGTGACCTTGATCTTTGGTTGTAATGAAGGAGTGAGACTGGGGAGAAGCTGGTGTGTCCATCAGAATGTGAAAACTCAGGGCGTTTGAAATCTAACAGCCTCCTCTCCTCTACTTGCCACATTCCTTGATGTCCCCCAAGTTAACCAAGGTGTGTCTCAGAGGCTTTACAAGCTGGGTGCCCTCTGCAGGGCGCCCTTCCCATCCTCCCCTACCAACCCTTAAGCCAGGGGAGTCCTCAGCCCCTTCCTGGGAGAGGCCTTCCCAACTTCCCCGGGCAGAAGAAGCCCTCCCTTGTCTGGGCTCTCCCACACGTCATAGTATCCAACAGAGGGGCCCCCATGGCAGATGCTGTGTTCCCCTTAGACCCTAACTTGAACACAAGGGTTGTAACTCAGTCCTTTCTACATTTCCCAGTGCCCCAGACAGCAGAGGCATCATGGCAGTGAGATGAATGGATGAATGAATGAATGAATCCATGTGTGCATGCCTCATCACAATGACTTCACTATCCTGTCACATTGCAGCCTGCCAGAAGAACGAAGACATCAGTCTTAGAAGAAATGCAACCAGAATGCTCCTTTGAAGCGACAATGGCAGGACTTCTTGCTTCCTTTGGACATGAGATCAGGAAAGGCCAGTCACTAGCAAAGGGCTTCATCCTTGGCAAAGTGGAGACTCAGCGAGAATGAGGGAAGCCCTCGGTGAGATGGAGGGACTCGAAAGCCCCACACTGGGCTCCAATATCCAAAGGATTGTGAGGTGGCACAGGAAGCAATGTTTCACCCTGTTACATGTAAGGTCACCAAGAGTCGCAGCTGACTTGATGGCCACAAACAACATTACCCTGGCACATCTCAGGGCCTGGTGGGAGCGGGCACTGCTTGCGGCTGGAGTTGTTGGCAGAAGAAAGAGGAAACAGCTTTGCTTCATCATGTAGCCTTGCCAGTGCTCTTGGCACTTACAAAGTCCATGATGACACTGGGTGTCCACTCCACCTGGAAACCACCTGATGTGGAAGCTGATGTAGGCCCTGGTACCCACGCATTGACTGGTTCTCACTCCCAGAGCTACACACGTGGGTCACAGTCCTCAGAGCTGCCCAGCACACACCGGACCGGCAGGGGCTAGGAAAAGGCTCACCCTCAGCTTCTGAGGCTTCTCCTCTACTGACAATAACAGAGGTCCCTGGCAGGAGTCCTGGCACTTCCATTTGGCTGATGACGGATCGCCATCCGGCTGGTTCCATCTCATAAGGCCTCTGCAGAGAGCACCTCCCTGCCCTCTGCCTCCTGGGAGTGGCTGGCAGGCCCTCGGGCTGGCAGAGAGCAGCTTCGGAAATGGTTTCCATCCCCAGTGCTATGGTGGAGCTGGCGCTGGCTACTGACGGTGTTAAAAACTGTGGATGAGACAGGTTCCAAGCCTTGTGTGCTGTTCTCATCACTCAGGGAGAGTGTGAGTGATCCAGGATGACTGAACAGGACGTAATGAGATAACACAGGTAACACACTCAGCACAGGTGGGCATGGCCCATGAGCTGCCCACATGGGGGCTCAGGACCAAGAGGACAAACGCTGGTGTGGGTGCTGTCTGGAAAAGTAACAATGGCTATAGTCTATTGAGCACTTAAGGATCCCTGGGTAGGGTGAACAATTTGCACTTGACCATGAAGCTAAAGGTTGGTGGTTCAAACCCACCCAGTGACACTGTGGAAGGAAGGCCTGGTGATCTGCTTTCATGGAGATTACAGCCAAGGAAACCCTATGGAGCAGTTCTACTCTGTACCACATGGGGTCACCATGGGTCAGAACTGACTCCGTGGCAGTAGGTTTGGTTTCCCTTATTGTACTACCTGGGCACTTTGTCTCTGACATGGTCCATATTTACAGGTGCTTTTACCATTCTCCTCCTCATGTCACTGATGGGGAAACTGTGACCCCAAGAGAATTTGTAATTTGAACAAGATGGTCCAGCTGGTAGGTAGTACGCTTGGGACTTACACACAGGAACTCTGATTGCAGAACATGCCTCTTAGCCCATGTTCTCCGGAATCCATCAGAGCTTCAGGTTCTTTAGACAGTCACACATCCTGGAGGGCCTTGTGTGGGTCAACACTGAGTCTTTTCATTTCCCATTTTATCAAGTGCTTCCACGTATCAGGAATAGAGCTATGCAAGACATATTTTCCTAATGAGTTACGATCACAACCCTATGGCTCGGAAGGAGGTATCATTATCTTCATTTATACATAAGGAATCTGAGGTTCAGAGATGTTAAGTAATCGACTCCAGATCACACAGCCAGGAAGTGGCATAACAGGGATTAGAATACAGGTTTTCCTGAGTCCAAAGCCCATGTACTTATGCACACCTCCCATACCACCTCCTCTCTTCTCCCTCTTCTCAGAGCTGCTTATTGAGGCCCTGCTGTGTGCCACACACTATGCTAGGTACTGGCAAACAAACACTTACAAGGCAGCCGTGGTTCCCATCCTCCTGGAGTTTACATCATGGTGGAACATTAAGAGATGACATTAAAGAAGGAACTAGCAACATGTGGATGGGGAAAACAGGTCTCTCCAGAGGAGGAGGTCTGCAGACCTCCCTTCCGTGGCTCCATTTAGAGCGAGTCTGCCCATGAGTAGGGATCAAGGGGGCATTCGAGTGTGTGTGAGTGTGTGAGCCATCTGCAGGAACGGGCAGGGCTGTGGCCTGCCTGTATCAATAAAGTGCCGCTTCTGCCCCCTCACCCTTCTCCAGGGTAAAATAATTTCCTTGTGCTTAGCTTGGTCTGGCAGCAGTCAAAAACTCAAACGTCATATTGTACTGGGCAAACTGGCTGCAAAAGATCTCTTTAAAGTGCTGAAGAGCAAAGATGTCTCTCTAAAGACTAAGACGTACCTAACCCAAGATATGGTATTTTCAATTGTCTCATATGCATGTGAAAGCTGGACAATGAATTAGGAGGACTGAAGAAAACGCTTTTGAGTTAGTGGTGTTGGCAAAGAATCCTGAAAGTCCCATGGACTGCCAGAAGAACTAACAAATCTGTCCTGGAAGAAGTGCAGCCAGAATGCTCCTTGGAAGTGAGAATGGCCAGACTTCATCTCACCTACTTTGGTCATGTCAGAAGGGACCATTCCCTGCAGAAGGCTATCATGCTTGGTAAAGTGGAGGGGTCAACAAAAGAGGGGAAGGCCCTCGAGGAAATGGATTGACACGGTGGCTGCAACGAGGCCTCAGGTACAGCAGGGATTGTTAGGCTGCAACAGGACCAGGCGGTGTTTCGTTCTAAGTCTAAGTCTGGCAAGTTTCCAATGTTCCTGGAGCCTCCATTTCCTTGTCAGCTATGAGCATCTTCTACAGCTCAGAACAGATGGGAGGAAGAGGGGTGCTATGAGTCAGAGCCGACTCAATGGCACCAACAACAGCTTGGTCTGGAGCTCTGTGTGGTGTGAACGGTTAACCCCTTGGCTGCTAACCAGAAGGTTGGTGGTTCGAGTCCACCCAGAGGCACCTGGGAAGAAAGGCCTGGTGATTCACTTCTGAGAAGTCAGACCCTGGAAACCCTATGGTGCACAATTCCACCCTGACACCTGTGGGGTTGCCATCCGTCAGCATCAGCAGCACGGAAGCTGGTTCCTGGAACTGCCTCACCACTGCTTCTCTGGAGGGGCTTTCCCTGGGCTGGCCAAAGGCCTTGTCTGATGCTTCCCGGGCCTTCCCCCACCAAAGTCTTCCCCAGGATTTGCTCGCTTGGAGTACATCTAGCCTCCTATCATTTGCCTAAGGACACACTTGGCAGTAATTCCTGAACATCGAATTTACAACACTTTGCTTCGGATGGAAAAATGAACGCAGGGGGCGGACGCTGCTATTTTGTCTCCTTGTGAGCATTTCCGGGCTTCTGTAACCCATCTGCCTA